GAAAGAAGATTTGCAGGTGGAAAAAGAAATTTCCTCTCAAGAGGGGGAAGATACACTTTAATAAAAAGTACTTTGGTAAATCTCCCAATATACTTCCTATCAACAATTACTATCCCCGTTAAGGTGTCTAAAAGATTGAAAGCAATACAATGTAGATTCCTTTGGGATGATAGTGAAGAGGAGAGAAAGTATCATCTTGTGAAGTGGGAGGATGTCAAAGAACCTATCAATTATGGAGGGTCTTGGAATTAGGTCCGTGGTTAACATGAACATCGCTCTACAGGGGAAATGGCTTTGGAGATAAATGACAGAAGAAAATAGTTTATGGAGAAAGATTGTTCATTCTCATTGGGGCACGTACATGGATAGGAAGGAGATCAGTAAGATTCTAGCTAACATGGAAGAGGATTGTGAAGGAAAATATTGATGTAATGGTACAATTTTCAGCAATGTGTTGGAAATTGGGGAGCGAAACAGAATTGTTTTTTGGGAAGATAATTTGATTGGGGATGGTTGTCTCAGTAGGAAATTTCCCAAAATTTTCAACATAGCCTAGTCAAAACAGATGTTTGTTGAGGAAGCATACCGGGATATTAACGACAACATTGTTTGGTCTATCAACGTCAGTAGGAACTTGAATGATTGGGAAATTTATAAATTTGAGGAATTAATGAAGTTGTTGACAGGGTAGAGTGTTTCTAATTGTGATAACCGGCCTGTATGGAAGAGAAAAAAATGACATTTTTTCTGTCAAGTCATATCACCACTTTTTATGCAGAAAAAAGAATGTGTCTATATATAATTTTCCAGCAAAACAAATTTGGAAAACCAAGGCTCCGCCTCGCATTGCTTTTTTTGCCTGGGAGGCATGTTAGAAGAGGATTTTAACTATTGAAAAGCTGAGAATTAAAGGAAGGGTGCTGATTAATGGTTGCTATTGTTGTTTAAAAGCTGAGGAAATATGTAACCACCTTCTATTATGTTGCCCGACAACATATAGATTATGGTGCATGGTATATGGTCTTTTGGGGATTGACTGGGTTATGACAGGGTCTGTGGAGGAAGAAATTTGGGCTTGAGATCAGCTATATATAAAAATAAGATTGCTAACTTGATTCAATAGACTGTCTTCAGGGTCATTTGGAAGAAGAAAAATAGTACAGTTTTTAATAACATAGAGAGTAGTATCTATAGTTTAAAAGATAGGTAGATTCATTATTTTAAATTTATTTTGTTAGGTCATGACATTATCAGTTATGTGAATTTTAGAAATATCATTGATATGTTAACACGATTGTAAATCTTTTGTAAATGAATGGTACTCCTTTTTGGTACTATATTAATATATACTACTTTTTATCTATAAAAAAAAAATCTTGTGGACTTAGTGTGCCGATAATATAATTAGTCTTTACATATTTTCAGAAGTATATCAAAATTCTATATTGTGCAACCAAAAGGTGGATAAGTGAAAGTGTGAATGTCTAGTTCAGTGATTGTGTAACTCTGGCCTCATTTAGAGGTCCAGATTTCAATCTCAAACATAAGCTGATTTACAAATAATAAAAAAAATTTACACATGAATGAATATACCTTTTTTTGGAAGAAAAACATTAACTAAAATT